AATTTTTTTTCTTTTTTGCAAATAGCAATAGAAATTATGGGCCTCCTTCAGGGTATGTCTCTTCTGTCACAGTAGGCAACGTAGGAATCCCTGTGGTTATACAAGTCAATGAGTCTCAGCAAGCCAGCAGCAGACCAAGTACAGTGGTCTGGATGTGCCTTTATTGTAGAGATTCTCTTTACTTTTCCGCTGAGCTTCAGTTTTCTTCGAGGAGCCTGAGAAGCCCTCTTTCTGTTACTAACTTCTGCTCTATCTTGAGGCGCTCAGGACAAGGGTCTTTGTAATCTCCTGTGCCTCTGTAGTGTGGGACCAAGTAGCAGAAAAGCCAGAAGGTAGGAGGCGCACGGGGGGCGGGGGCGGGGGCGGGGGCGGGGGACATGACTGAGCGTTGGAGGTGGCGGCTAAGTGAACCTCACCATGCCGTGGGCGTGGCCCGGGACGTCTCCAGGAGCTTCAAGCTGCTAGTCTCACCGGGCCGGTCGCTGAAGCTTAGAGAGCGTTGGGTGGGGGTGGGGCTGCAAACTTTATTTATGTTTAAACATACTTGTTTTTGTTTTTGTTTTTTGGTACTGGGGATCGAACTCGGGTCCTTGCGCTTGCAAGGCAGGCGGCAGAACCACTGAGCTAAATCCCTGGACCCTTAAACATACGTTTTTAAATTGCTTAGGAAATATATTTAATATTTAAGTAAATTTGGAAATTGAAGACAAAATTGTTCATTTTCTAACTAGGTACAACTTTCTGTCCCACAAATAAATTGCAGTTTTTACAACCACTCATCATTTCTTCTTCATTTCATAAGCCTCCCTCTTTCTCACAGAGAGACACAAAGCCTTGATTATAGAGGCAGAGCAAAAACACCATAAATGGATCTATGACTTAAGATTCAGAGTGAAACCTGCTCTGTGGGACACTGGGCAGATGATAGCTTATGGGGCAGGGAATTGGGTGTGCCAAGAGTTTCTTTTTATATTTTTATCTCTTTATTTCCTGCCGTTACCTGTTTGGTTAAAGCATACATGATGTGATAGAAAAATACAGTAAATGTTTAAATTAAGCAAATTAATCACAGTAAAAGACACATAGTCATTAATCTCCCTCAAAGCACTCGTCCTTGCTTCAAACACATCCATCCCATCATTCTTGCCATTTTCTGAAGAAGTTTTGGAAGTCCTTTTTCTCTTTTCTTTTCTCTCTCTCTCTCTCTTGTTTTTTTGAGATAGGGTCTCGGTATTTAGTTCAGGCTGGTCTTGAACTCACTGTGTAGCCCAGGCTGGCCTCAAACTAGTGATGATCCTCCTGGCTTAGCCTCCAGAGTGCTGGGATTATAGATGTGTACTCCCACCCCTGTCTTGGAAGTCCTTTTTCCTGAGTGTCTTTAGTTGTGCTGTTCTGACTGCCTCAATGACCTAAATCAATTCAAAATGTTTACCTTTACCTTTCACGGTCATTTTGACTTTGGAGAAGAGCCAGAATTCTCATGATCCCAGATCTGGTGAATAAGGTAGATGACTATATACTAATGTTTTTACGAACCTGCTTTTTCTTTGGATGGCACTCGACAAGTATTTTTGATCATACCTTATGAAGATGCTGATCCCTACATGGTTACTTGAGTTGTTTTTCTCAAGTTGTATAATTTTAATATCTGTGCTCACTCAATTAATAGGAGCTAACATATACATGTATAATTGTCTGAGTTTCAGAAAACAAAAAGAAGCTTAGTGTAGTTAATAGCAACTTATTATAATATTTAAAATAGTTTGAACGAAGCTTTGAAATTGAAATTTAGATTTAGGAATTTGTGATTTGTTCTGCAATTGTTGATTTTAGCAGCTAATTCTGTTCTAAATTCTAACATCTTTAGGAAAAGATGATAATTTTTGAATTTAAAAATACACACAAAATATAAATACATAAATTATTTATCATAAAGCACTGCTGTTATTATCATTCCATTTGTTTTCCTTGGCTAAGCATACTTATGCTTGTTGAATACACTCTCAAGGTGGAAGCAGGTGATGCCATGAATAGGTTATTCAAATAAAATTTCTTCTTTTTTTTTTTTTTTTCAGAAAAGAAAGCTATCTCCACCTAGTGCTTCTATGGGATGGATCGAGGCACCCAGAGCAGCAGAATCTGTAGCCAAATTTTGTCAATCAAGAAGGCTGAAGTGAACCCCTGCTCTAATTTCTTGATATTTTAAATTTATAGTAGACATTTAGTTCAACTTAAGCTAGTAGAGTTCTGCAGTTTTTTTGATGATGTTTACAAAATGCTCCAGATCAAAGGATTATTCTTTCCCAGTCATTTATTAAGGTTGTGAAGGAATTGTGTTTCCTGCTTGGGAAATATGGCCTCTGTGTATTCAAATGTTGGCTCTTGGGGGAGGGGACAGTGTGGCTGGAGAGGAGTCGATGCATCAGCTGTAGAAGAATCTCCTTTGGCTTTGGGCAGCGTGGTGATGGAATTTCCACATTGACACACTCTCTACATGATGCGAGATTAAAATTACCTTCCTTTTAGGCTGGAAGGCTTGGAAGCCATTTGATTGCACTTTCTCATTTTATAGGTGAAGAAATGAGGCCCAGAAGTGTGAAATCAATTTTCCTACAGTTGTGCCAGATAATTAGAGATAGAACTGGATCTAGAGCACAAGCTCATTTTGTATTACCATTCTTCTAACTCACAAGGCTGTGATGCCTATGCTAAAATTTAAAATAAATAATTTTGCCAGCATTTTTTGAATTGAGAAAATTACCAGGGTTTAAATATTAGATTTATTTTTATATGAATCACTGTATACTGAACTATAGAGCAGCATATTTAATCTAATGTAAGAAACCATAGATTGTAAAATATGCCATTATGTTGTGTACCACTAAGAAGGTTGGGTAGGGAAGTTGTCAGTTAACTTGTGACGAGTAACATTCATGGCCAAGCCTACTTGAATTTGAGATGGTAAAGTGATAAAAGGATTCTAGAATCAATGAAATATAGTATTTTGAGTACCCCTCAAGAGAATTTAAGAGTTCCAAAGGCAATTTTCAGTCCTGGATCTTCACTGAGAATCTTTTGTTTGCTGGACCCTGTAATCTTTAAAGAGTCAATCTTAACTCTTTTGCAAATATTTGCATCTTGCTTTGTTACTCAGAAACAGGAGGGAAGTTGTTACCTTTCATACAACATTTGCACACTGAGAAAATTATAAATTTTAACGAATAACAAGGTAAAATAGCACTGCTACTTATTTGGTATGTTGTGCTCAATGTGACTATAAAAAGCAAATATTTTCCTTTCCTGCTTGGTGCAATAGCTTTCCCAGGATTATGGATAAATTGATTAAAAGAAGATTTGATTCTTTTCCTTCTTTTAATATGAAGTGCTGCTGAAAGTGGCAGCTTCTCATAATGACAAGAAATTTGCATCAGTTGGAAATCCTTTTGAAAAATTCAAGTTTGCAAAGGGCTACTGACTTCCTCAAACTGAACAGGCTCAGGAAATTTTCCTATACACTCAGAATGGTCTATTTTAAAATATATTATTTATTGTTGGCAATTCCTCAGGGATTTCCCTTTTCTATCAGTGAGTGTAATTGATTTAAGAGTGTTTCATAAATGGGAAATAGTATTTTTACTGCTCTGTCAGTTTGATATGAAGTAAAATAAAGTTTTCTCTTCAAAGCTTTATGTGACCTCCACCCTTGTCATATTTTCAGTTATTAGACTAGAAAAACAAACTTATGGTTAGGGAAGTCATGTATCAAGTGCAATGTTACTTCACCAATATATGCATGTAACATACTCAAAGCACTTTTAGGGGAACTTAAGTGTACTGCAGTTAGGAGGATGTTTGACTAGGTCTCTTCACAGTGAGGGGTTCAGGGTACAGAGTTTATATTCAAGTTTAGGGAATTTTCTTATAGGGCTCTGGTCAGTTTCTTCACCTGTTTTGGTCAGCAATCTAAACACTTTGTCAGCACCTGGGAGTGCTTCAGGCTCTGGCTTGGGTTCAAGCTTGCTGGAAAAAACCTGTAGTTGCCTGAGTCACAGAGCAGTCAAGGCACTCTGTGAAAGGAAGCATGTGTGTTTACGAGGGGTGGGGAGTGGGGTTGGTCCTTACAGGAGTGATTCCAGAAAGCACCAATATGGGAGTGAAGAAGTGAGATAGAGATGGTAAGGACAGCAAAAAGCATACATTATCAAGCCAGCTACCTGGTGAGCAGCTGGAGCCCAGTCCTGCTGGGGAGCCCAGTCCTGCTGGGGAGTCCAGTCAGTTAGGGATTGAAGGCTGCTCCTGGGAGGTGTTACTTTCCTGGCATTTTTGGTCAAAGAATGGGTTCTAGAAGTCTGAGAGGGTGCTCAGGCCAAGACACAGACAGGTGGAAGTTGGGTGGGTGCTTACAGAAATGCCAGGCATTGAAGGTTTATAGATGGGTACTGACAGTGTCTTGGCCCTGCGTGACTCAGATCCATCTGTGGCCACATTAGTTTGATTCCATCCTGTCCCTTTCAAGTCCAAATTTACAGAGAGAGAGAGAGAGAACAGGAAGTTTAGCAGGCAAGCTATAGTCCTGTTGCTACAGACAGTCCTAAATCCATAAATGATATGAGCAGTGGCCATCTGCCATCTGCAAGGCAAGGAGAGAGGCCTAAGGAGAAACCAGCCCTACTGACATGTTGATCAACTTTGGATTTCCAGCCTCCAGAATGTCAGAAGAATGAATTTTTGTGCTGAGGACACTCAGTCTGTGGTATTTTGTTATGGTAGCCCAAGCTGATTTCATATTGTTTATTAGGACATCATGTACACCATACTGAATGAATTCATGAATAGATACCCTAAACAAAACAAATAAAATAAACCACACATATGCTGTAGATTTCTGTTACATTTGGTTAGTTGTTCTGATTATCTAGGTTGTTTGATAGCAAGAACTCTTGTCCCCAAAGATCATCAACCGTGTAGGGTCTTAGCCGCAGTTATCAAACTCTTGTCAGACCTTGTTTGCTGAAATTGCCAATTTATGTTTATCACCAGACAGCAATATAACGATGTACCCCAGAAAAATTCCTAGGCTCCAGACATATTCCTCCCTACCCCTTTTGACTCATGATAATCACTTAATCCTGAAGGGATGGTTATTCCTTTCTTGCTAGTCTAGTGGCTGGAGGTGTTGGCCACAGTTTTAGTGGAACCCTTTTTATCTCCCTGGTAGTTATACTCCCTGCAAACCTCTTTGAGCCAAAAACTGGAGTCCAGCAGAGCCTGAAGTTGAAGGGATGGGAAGCACAAATTCCCCAAGTAGGTCAGTGGGAATCGTGACAGAGGCCATTCACCGCTTGTTTCCCAGACCTGTGTTTTCTACCTCTCGGAATTATAACCAATATTTGAATCTACCTATTGGAATATTGTGGCCATGTAAACATCATATAATGTCTCATCTGGGCCAGTGTGCCAACTCTGCAAAATTATTATTCTTGAGCTATTGCACCATTAAGAGGCCATTCCACCATTCTAACAGGACATCAGCTCCTAGGTGATATGTATGCAGTAGATAAGGGGTAGCCTAGAGATAGTCACCCACCTCTGTATGTGTGTGGATGTGCATGCGTGTGTGAATTTGGCCTCATGTTAGGCAAGCTATGCAGTTATTTACTCATTGCTGAGACAAAATACCTGACATCTAGAGTTAAAGGAGGAAAGAATTTTTGGCTCACAGTTTGTAGAGGTTTCAACTCATAGTTGGCTGGCTCAAAGCCAGGGTGGCATGGCAAAGGAGCATTGCAGATGAAAAACAGGTCATGGTGGGTAGGAAGCAACAAAATAGTGAAGAAGCAAAGCAGCAAGGAGCAAGTGACCACAGCAGTTCTCTCTGTCTTTTCTATCCAGGCTGCATACCCTTAAGTTGAGTAGCACTCATCCCCAGAGTGGGCCTTTCCATTATCCACACTCAGAACTATGCCAAGACAATCAGCGGACTAATTTAGTAATCCTAGCATCACACACTCTAGATCCAGCTACCTCTGAAAAAAACTCCCACCTATGACTCCATGAGGCTTTAGCGGGGGACACCTAGACACAAGCTATAACATTTGGTTTACAAATTTAATTTGTTTTACGATTTGGGGGAAGATGGCTGCGTTTGTGTTTGTATGGGAAAGATTCTGTGGTTGTATTTATCACTCAATGTGGAGTTTGTCAATGGAAGCAAAATTTTGCAGAATGTTTTTATTTGTCAACCGAATTGTTTCTAAACAGAAGCATTTGTGAACCAAGGGATTATTGTACTACTGAGCTATACTCTTAGCCCGAAAATTGGTTCTTAATGGGCAAAACAAATCTCTTTTTAGGTCTAAAACATAGATTACACAAACAATGCATAAAGAGATACTATATATGTGTCACATTAAAATTTCATGGGGGTAGCAATTAGGAAAAAATGTTTAAAAGTTTTCTTAAGAGTGTAATAATGGAAAACAGTTTTCCATTTGACAGATGGGAAATTTGAGAAACACTGGTCTAATGTCATGTTATATAGAATTTCATAATGATGCATTAGATATATTATAAGCCCTCAATTGTGCTGGCCCAGGCTAAAAGGGCAAACCCATGCTTGGAACCAGTGCTAGTAGTGCGAAATCTCTGCCCCTTTCAGGATGGAAGGAATTTGATGGCATCAGTTCACCACCAGGTGGCTGGTTGGTCTCTTTGTGGCATGGTACTGAGATAGGGGTTACTGCGGGGCAAAAGCTGACTGAGGAAGTGGTTAACTACAAGATCCTGGACCCATGCACAGAATAGTTCCTGAAACCCTGCATGGGGACATGGGGACTTCTCTGGAGAATTTGAGAAGGTTTTCAATAGGATGGCCTAGACCTGACATCAATCTAGGAGTGGGATCTCAGCACTGCCTCTCAGGACCCATATATAGAAGTTCTCTTGGATTTCCTCAAGATTTAGAACTCCATGAAGGCTTTTCTATCATAACTTCCTATGATAGCCCACAAAGTGTTTCCTAGACCAGAATGTGCTTTTATCTTTGCTGTCACTCTCTTTTTGTTATTTTTTAAATTAAATTCTTTTATTGGTACATTGTAGGTATACAACACAATTACATTTCTCATTGGGAATTGTACCTTTACATAA